TGATATACCGCCTCTAAAACTTGTAGACTCATGTAATCATGAAAGTGTCATAGTTTCGGAACAAAACTTTAAGCTATGAATTTTAAACGGTCCCGTATTTATTTATAGTTTTGAAAGGAAATGCTGTGTTTCAGTTGTTGTCATTTTTGGAAAGTTTTGAAAGTGTTGGCATATTTTGATGCAGAAGCTTTGAAATCCGTTTAAATAAGGAATATGGGCATTTTTTTCTTAAATACGAGAAGTTATAAAAATTCAATATTTTAAATGAAATAATTAAGAATTTAAGTCAAATACCCTACACCACTGTGTATATTTAGTAGAGCTCCCGTAACAAAAGACTATATTACCACCTATCAACATTTGACTTAAGAGCAGTTACAGTTTGCTATAGAGTGTATGATATCACTTGGAGAAGGATTATATGAAAAATATATATATATATTAGAGCCGAGTTGCACAAAATGAAAACGTATGTCCCGAAATTCACTCCATTTGGTCTGATATTAGCCATTATTTGAACAATAAACCTGAAATTGGATTAAGGATATATATGGGAGCTATATGCAAATCTTAGCCGTTCTCGATAAAATTTGGCAAAGGTATTTTTGAGTTCTATAAGATATCTGGTAGAAAATATCATTGTTATCGAATGAATATTACGAATTTGAGGTACTTAAATAGCAAATCGGATAAAACATAATTATGGGAGCTACAGTTACATCTTAACTGATTTTTCCGAATTCGATGTACTTGCTTCTAGACCGAATCCGGTCGGATGTACCAAAATTTAGGTAATTTGGACTGATATTGGCCATTTGGTGCACAATTAACCCGAAATCGATTGAAGATATATGGGAGCTATATCCAAATATGAACCAATCTTGATAAAGTTTTATGCAACTATTTCGGAGCTGTATGTGATATCTTGTACCAAAGATCATAGTTGTGGAGTGCATATTAGGCTTGTGCAAGACTTTTAACCCCAAATCGGATGAAACATATATATGGGAGCTATACCTGAATCGATTTCCTCCAAATTTGAGGTACTTGCTTCTAGACTGAATTCGGTCGGATGTACCACAATTCAGGACTTTTGACAGATATTGGCAATTTCGTGCACAATTAACCGGAAATCGGTTGAAGATGTATATGGGACCTAGATGCAAATCTGAACCGGTCTTGATAAAATTTGGCAGAGGTATTTCTGGGATTTATCTGATACCCGGTACCAAATAGCATTGTTATCGAATGCATATTACGAATTTGAGGGACTTAAACACTAAATCAGATGAAACATATATATGGGAGCTATAGCTATATCTGAACCGATTTTTATGTAATTTTTGCTAGACTAAATTCGATTGATTATGCCAAAATTCAGGTCATTCAGACTGATATTGGCCATTTGGTGCACAATTTACCCGAAAAGGGTTGAGGATATATATGGGAGCTATATCCAAATCTGAACCGATCTTGACATTATTTGATACCCTTATTTCAGAGCTGTACCTGATGTCTGGTACCAAAGATCATTGTTATGAAATGCATATTACGTTTGTGAGAGACTTTAAACCCCAAATCGGACAAAACATACATATAACATACACAGTAAACCTGATATCGGATAAAGATATATATGGGAGCTATATCTAAATCTGATCCGATTATCACCAATTTCAATAGGGTTCGTCCTTGGGCCAAACAAATATTGTTTGCAAAATTTCAATCAATCGGATAATAAATGCGAACTGCATTTTGTTCACAAAAATACATGGACGGACCGACAGACGGACTGACATGCGTAAATCGATTCTATGAATATCCTCAAAAGTAACTATGGGTCTATCTCGCTTCCTTCTCCATGTCACAAATGCACAAACACATAATACCCTTACCGCTATGTGGTGAAATTAATCATGCTCCAAAATTTATCTCCCTCTCCCATCCGCTGCACAAAAATTTCGAACTTTAATGAATATTTATTGGCGTCATTAAAATAATGAAACAAAAAAATGCAAACTCAAAAAAGAAATCGTTTAAATCACAAAACTAATATAAACAAAAACAAATCTTTGGCAAACAAAACGATGTATGAATGAATTTCGCTGTAACAATGCACGAATAATACATAATGTACAAAAAGCAATGGGCCTATACACATATATACTATTGTATATAAAAAACAAGTACACAAAAGAACAAATAATTTATTATTATTTTTAGAGCAAATAAAAGTCAGCAAAGTTAAAACAATAAGTCCTGGGCATGGGCGTGGGAAAGGTAATAAAGATGGGGTTCAGTCCTCGAAACTTGGAAAATATTTTATGTTTTCGGGGAAAATTCGTGGTTCCCACCATTACTTTGGCTCTGAACATCTCTTTTTTCTCAAAGATGAAAAGCAAAGGAAAAAACACATCAAACCGTCTATACAAAGGCCAAAGGAAATGGGCTTCAAAGGAAAAAAAAGAAACGCAGAAAATATGCCACGAATATGGAAATGGAAATGAAACACACTGATTATGAATATAAATCATTAAGAGAGAAATAAATTTCATTTTCATTCTGCGGCATTCATTTCTTTGCCTCGAAACTTCAAAAAGAAATGTAAATATTTCTAACAATGGTGTATGTATGTAGGTATGTCTGTGTACAAGATTGTGTATGCAGATATGCACAGGTATTTGCAACAAATGTATTACTCATACAAATTAGCCGAACAAAAAGTGTATACGAGGGTTGTTAACGGAAATTTGAAGAGATAAGAGAGTCCTCTCAATCTCCTTGAGTCGCAGGGGTTTTGTGAAGAAGTTTCTTTTCATGGAAAACCTACAGAAAATGTTCTCTCCTTAGAAGACCTGGTAATGATATTCTATTTATAAAAGTCCTATCATAGGTCATCTATCCCGAGGACACCTGTAGAAGGCGTGTTATCAATAGGAAGGCTGTAAAAGATCTTCTATCAATAGACGTATACCAGACCTATTGAAGGTTTTTATCCATATAAATCCTCTCAAAGGCCTTCGTTCCATAGAAGAACTGTTAAAGGTATTTCATCCATAGGATAATTGTTAACGGACTTCTATCTATAGAAGAGCTGTTAACGGACTCTATCCATAGAAGACCTGCTGAAGCTCTCCTATCTAAAGAAGACCTGCTAGGGGTCTCCTATTCAAAAAGACCTGCTGAAAGTCTTCTATCCAAACAAAACTTGCGGAAAGTCTGCCATCCGTAGAAGACCTGTTAAATGTCTTCCACCCATAGGTCCTCCATCCATAAAATACCTTGATAGAAGATCTTTAAGAAGACTTCTATGGATAAAAGATAAATAGATGTTTAAATAGATGAAAAACCTTCAATGAATAGAAGACCTTCACGACGTCTTCTGTGTATGGAATACCTTCAGTAGGAAGACCTTCATTACGTCTTCTATGGATAGACGACATTCAGCAAGCTTTCTATATAGGACCTTCAGTAGAGCTTCTGTGAATATAAGGCATTCAACAGTTCTTCTTTGGAAGGAAGACCTTCAAGAGGTCTTCTATTCATGGAAGACCTGCTGAAGGTCTTCCTTCCATAGCAGACATCTTGAAAAAGATATATCCATTGAAGACCTGCTGAAGGTCTTCTATACATGGAATACCTGCTGAAAGTCTTCTATCCATAGCAGACCATTTAAAGGTCTTCTATCCTCTTGATGGCCTTATACCCAGACGTGCTGAAGGGCTTCTATCCATAGAAGACCTACTGAATGTCTCATATAGAAGGCTTCCTGAAGGTCGCCTATCTATAAGAGAAGTGATGAAGGTTTTCTTCCATAGACGACTTCTTGGCGTTCTTTTATCCATAGAAGTCCTCTTGAAGGTCTCTTATCCATAGAATATATCCATAGAAAGCCTCTTAAAGGTCTTATATCCATAGAAGACCTCTTGAAAGCCCTCTATCCACAGAAGACCTACTTAATGTCTTCTATTCATAGAAGACCTACTTAATGTCTTCTATTCATAGAAGACCTAATTACGATTTTCTACACATAGAAGACCTACTGAAGGTCTTATATCCATAGAAGATCTGCTGAAGGTATTTAATCCATAGAAGACATACTGAAGGTATTTTATCCATAGAAGACATGCTGAAGGTCTTCTATCCATAGAAGACCTTCTGAAGGTCTTCTATCTATAGCAGACCTTTGGAAGATTTTCTATCCATAGAATATCGCTTGAAGTTCTTCCATTAATAGAGGACTTTTTGTAGGTCTTCTGTTCGAGAAGACCTGATGAAGGTCTCCTATCCACGGAAGACCTCTTGAAGAAGTCCTCTTGAAGGACCATAGAAGAACTGTGGAAGCTGTTGTATCCATAGAAGGTCTTTTGAAGGCCTTTTGTCCATACATGTCCATTATATCCATAGAATACCACTTCTATCCATAGAAAACCTCCCGAAAGTCTTTTATCCATAAAATACCTCCATAAGGTATTCAATCAGTAAAATACTTCTTGAAGGTCCTCTATCTGTAGCCGACGTTTTGGCGGTCTATTACCCATAGAAGACAACTTGAAGGTGTTCTATACATAGAAGACGTCGTGAATGTCTTCTATCCATAGAAAACCTCCTAAAGGACTTCTTTCCATAAAAGACCTCTTGAAGGTCTCCCATCCAAAGAATATCTCTTGAAGGTCCTCTATCCATAGAAGACCTACTGAAGGTCCTATCTTCATAGATGATCTGGCAAAGATCTTCTTATCTATGAAACAATGAGAATCCCCTTAAATATGGCCTATCATACCATCCTCATATTTCACTCAATATGAGACCAACAAAACATTTTTTCGAGCATGTTTCGCAGCAATATTTATTTGTGAATTTCCTTTTTCTTTCTTTCCTACATCTCCCCCCTTCTGCTACTACCACTTGTTTTATTTATGTTTTTTTTTTCACATACTTTGCAAAAATACGTATAGCGTGTAAACAACATTCACTGTACTTGACTTGCCGAAACTTACCTTATGCCTTGTATTAGAGTTGTTGTTCTTGCTGCTGCTGCTGTTGTTGTTGCCAGCCACTACAGATACTGCCAATGACGAGGATGATGATGATGCTGCTGATGCTGATGCTGATGGTAGTACCGCACAAGTGTTGCTGTGAATGTTGTTTTACCGATTCTGTTGCTGCTGCTGGAACATATAAAGTTTAGAGGTAAAAAGTATAGTTTTTCCTCGCCTTGTTCTCCCAGGTATGTTTGTTTGCGTGCGTGTGTATGCGTGATTTTCCTCAATGGCAGTTTGGCCGTTAGTCGAGTTATTGTGTAAGTTGTTGCTGTTGCTGACTCTTTCGTTGAAGAGAAGTTTTGAAGTTGGTTGAGTTAAATTGATTATAAAACACACATTTACTCACGTGCCCCCATAAATCCCCTTTGTTGTTGTTTTGGTTGAACTCACAAAACGGGGCCGGCAGAGAGGGATTTTAATGAAACCACCGCAAATATTGTGCGTATTCGTGTTGTTGTTTTTTTTTATTAAAAGGTAGGGTAATATTCACTTTTTGTTCTGTTTTCCCATAAAACTTTTCCGAGTGATTTTTTTTCGTTTTTCACAACAAATGAATGCCACTCTAAGGAGATTTTGTTTTCTCGTTCTCAATTGTGGTTGAGATGATTGTTGTTTTCACCTTTTTGCCTGATTTGTTGTTGGTTGGTTTTGGAATTCTTTTTTGTATACCTGGCCTTATGGAATTTTCATTCTCTTGGGTTAGGTTTCTCCAACACTTATTGAATTTTTATATGTTTTTCACTTTCACTTTTTTTTTCTATTTATTGACTTTTGTTTTTTTTTTTCTGGCCTACTTGAAATATTTATTTTTTATTTGATAATTTCACTGAGTTGTTTTGTTGATTTGCTTTTGATTGTAAAAGGAATGAAAGGATTTTGATAAATTGGGTAATGGTTAGAAAATGAGCTGAATGTTGACAAAGAAATGGCTCTGGTCCGAATATATATGTATGCCTGCAGACCTTTGAAATGTTCGAAATTTATTCATGCATATGTGCTTGTAGAACTCTGGCGTTGTAATAAGCAATGGATAGATAATTATTTATCAGTAATTTGGAAATTTAAATAATTAAAAAAATACGTTAAAATGTTATATTAAAGAAACATACATGTATAAGTACATATTTCACTGTGTCTCTCACGATCACCCTTTTTCTCTTAAATATTGAAACCAGTAAGAAACGTTACGTCTGGTTGGGCCGAACTTTTTATAAGCCTCCACCAAAAAGTAAAGAAACACTTTGTTTATAAAAGTATCGATATTGCTGCAAATACCATTTTAATCGTTTGAAGTCTTCAAAATACCATGAAGTGGACGGAACCGTTGTATGGGCCCTAAAACATGAATAAACCAGTAAAGAAAGTCTTAAAGTCGGGCGGGGCCGACTTTATGATACCCTACACCACTTTGCTAATTTAGTAGACCTCCGCATAACAATTAAAAGTTTTTATGGGAGAATTCAATTATACACGCTATGATTATAATTATAATTTAAAGTTCAAAGGACTAAATATGCTGAAGCATTTGTATCTTTTAAATTGGGACTTGTATTGCCCATTTGATGCACAATTAATTTGAAGTCGGATAAAAATATATATGGGAGCTATATCCAAATCGGAACCGATCTCAATAAAATTTGGCAGAGATATTTCTGAGCTGTATTTGATATATTTTCTTGAATATCGTTGTTACGGAGTGCATGTTACGGCTGTGGGTAACAAATATAACAAATCGGATAAACAGTATATATGGCAACTATAGCTATATCTGAACCGATCTTCACCAAATTTGGCATACTAGCTTCTAGACTCAATTCGGTCGTATGTGCCATTTCATCCCATTTGGACAAATATTAGACGTTTGGGGCACAATCAAAGTAAATCGGACGAAGTTATATATGGGAGCTATATCCAAATCTGAACCGATCTCGATAAAATTTAGCAAATGTTTTTCTGAGCTGTATTTGATATATTTCCCCAAATATTGTTGTTACAGAGTGCATATTACGGTTTCGGAGGACAAAAATAACAAATCGGATGAAAAATATATATGTGGGAGCTATAGCTATATCTGAACCGATTTCGATCTAATTTATCATACTTATTTTCAGGTCCAATCTGATCGTACGTGCAAAATTCCATACTATTCGGACTGATATTACACGTTTGGTGCACAATAAAAGGCAAATCGGACGAAAATATATATGGGAGCTATATTTAAATTTTGACCGATTATCTCCAATTTCAACAGGGTTCGTCCTTGCGCCAAACAAATGATTTGTGCAAAATTTCATCTCAATCGGATAATAAATGCGAACTGTACTTTGTTTACAAAAATACATGGACAGACGGACGGACGGAAATGCATAAATCGACTCAGAATGTGATTCTATGCAGATCATCAAAAGGAACTATGGGTCTATCTCGTTTCCTTTTGCCTGTTACAAACAAATGCACAAAGACATAATACCCTGACCACCTTGTGGTGTAGGGTATAAATAGAGCATTTTGCCAAATGGGTTCATGGTCTTTGAGAACATAAAAATCCAAATTACTTTCAGCAAGTAAAAAATCAGTAGGTTCGGCCGGGCCAAACTTTGAATACCCTACACCATTTGGAAGGAATTTGGAAATTAAAAAACTGTAGTACCCGTTACGAACTGAAAATACGAAATTAAAAAAAAAATCGGTGAATAATGTCGTTAAAGATATCAAAATACCGAATATAGGGAGGTACCGTTATATGGGAGCTATACCAAAACGTTCCAAAATATTCCAGACACAATAATCCAACGGATTGGTATTCTGATATTTTGGTGGCCATTGTGCGCTGGAAATGAGGAACCTTATTTTGTAACCATTCTTAGGTGGCGCGTGCTCAGTGCGATGGTGCTGAGTCCCGTTGGAATGTCCAAGGTCTGCGGCCAAAATGTTTGCGTGCCGAAGGTTTTAATACACCCTCCAGAAGATTTTCGTGATAATATTCGGCATTTATTCTGATGCCACGGTCGATTAGTACGAACGGAGAGTGGCGGCCCACACCATCACCATGGTCGACGCTTAAGTTTTTGTGGCCAACAAAAGTTACACGATCATTTTGTTTATTTACAAACTGCTGGACAATGAATGTTTTCTCATCGGAGAAAACCAAATTCGGCAGTTCACCACATTCGGCCAAGCGAAGCCACTCTTTAGTTTTTTAGTCTATTTTCTTTCTGTTGCGGCTTTACCCCGATCTCATTTTTCAATATTTGCCGAATGGAATATTCCGATATGTTCAGCTCACGAGCCATTTTTCGGCCACTGCGACGCGGGTTTTGATCAAGTCGTTTCTTTAGTTTTCGAACCATTTCTGCTGATGTTGCTGTTTTCTTCCGTCCTCTTCCTTGACGTCGGGCTACGCTACCAGTATCACGGTAACGAGCGATGGTACGAGACACAAAAGATTTATTCACATTTAAATGCTGGAGTGCTCTAACGATAGCCACTTGTGGTTTTCCAGCCAAATATAAAAAAATCACACTATCACGCTTGAATTCCATCACGAATAATTTTTTTTCTGGAAAATTCTCACCAAAATGCTTTTGTAGGCTTGTAAACAATATAATGAGCTGTCACTGGAATAATTTTAACAGCTGTCGGACGAGTGGCTTAGAAATGACAGCAGTCTGAAGTTGATTGAAGTTTTTTCATCTCACCCTATATAACATATTTTCAATACCAAAAAAAGAATACTGCAGAACAAACACACATCTGAGTAAAATTTTATCAACCTACTTTAATTCGTTCAGAATCTAGAGATGGACGTCCTTAAATAGACTTCGAATTTAATGCTGATCTAGAATATATATTCTTTGTGGTGTGTAAAATTTATATTTCAAGTAACTCCCCCACAAAAGGATTAAAATGTTGAATAGTTATAACTCTTATAAGATGTGAAATAAGGGTCGGATTGTGTTCAAATCTCAATATTTTTGTTAACAAAAGATCGGATCGGATATATTGGTTTACTAATTCCAGCACCTCCCCCCCACAAAAGGTTAACATTTTCATAGAAAATAATTTACCTAATAGCACAAGAAAGGATCATCCAATTTTGTTCGAATTTTGCAAATCCGAAAATCCACATCAGGAGCGAAAATTATCAATATCGATCTATCAAGTACCTTCCACAAAGGGTAAACATTTAGAATGTTTATAAATCTTTTAAAATGTTATTCACTCATACCCATACCCATATATTGGTCTACCTCCCCCACTATGGGTCAATATGTTAAATAGTTATATCTCACAAAAAAGGTGGAAGAAGCATTTGATTCGTTTTAAACGTCAGACATTTAAATATTTCTACTAATAAAAGATCTGATGTGAAGATGGTAGATATCGGACCACTTCTTGTGGTACTTTCCCCACAAAGGGGTCAACATTTTGAATAACACATCCCCATATTTCTACTAAGGAAATATCGGGTGTGAAGATGGGATGTATCGGTCTACTCCTTCTACTTCCCCCACAAAGTGCTCAAAATTTTAAATAATAGTATCTCTCATAAAATGCGAAATCTGAATCTGATTATTTCTAAACTTTGCACATTACAATATTTATACTAACACAAGATCTGATGTGAAGATGATAAATACCGAACCACCCCTTCTGGTACTTTCGCCACAAAGGATCACAATTTTTAATACTTATGTCTCTCATAGCTTGCGAAACAAGTCAACTATTCTTTTCAAACCTGGTGTGTCTTACGATTTTTTCAACCAGAAATCTGAAGCGACTATGGAATTTATCAGCCAACTCCTTCTTGTACCTCCCTCACACAAAAATTCTACATTTTGATTATTCGTATAAAATAAATAAATGTTCGATTTTCTTTAAATCTTGCACATACCATTTTTATTAGTATTACATGAAGTGCTATACTTCGACCCGCTATATTTCAACATTTTCCAAAAATTATCCCATATCTCATATAAAGTAAATAAAGTAGTCGATATAGTCCAAATCTGGCATCTTGTAATATTTTTATCAGACTTAGATCAGATCGAAATGGACAATATTGACCTAATCCTTCGGAACTTCCCCCATAAAGGGTCAACAGTTTGAATAATCATAACGCAAGGTTGAGGGTATACTTTTGTCGGCAAATCAGACTGATACTTTATAACTTGTTATACCCTCCACCACATGACAATAGAGGGTATATATCATTTGATACGGCCAAAACGCGCCTAGTCGAAGTGATGATTGTAGACCCAAGGTTTCTTTGGACCAAATCTGTTTCAAGACATTCAACTCAGACTTGGTACATCTCACTATTTCCATCAACACATGATATGTTATAAAGAAGGTAGAGATCGGACCATTTTTTCGTGGGGTCTAAAACATCCCCCGCATATAGTTGACGATTTCGAAACCCCCAAAGAAAGCGAAACAAGCATCCAACTCTCCTCAAATTTCACACATGTAAACATTTTAGCGAACACCAGCTCTGTTGTGAAGATGATATATATCTATTCTGGTACCTCACCCACAAAGGGTCACAATTTTCAATACTTTTATTTGGCATAACTTGCGAAACAAGTCAACGATTCTTTGCAACTTGCTATATCTAAATATTTCTCTCAACCAGAAACCTGAGATGAATATGGAATTTATGATTCCGCATAAAATTGCATATAAATGTTCGATGATGTTGTAATTTTGCCCATATCAATATTTTTATCTGCATTAGATGAAGTATGAAAATGGAATACTTCGGTCGACCATATCTGGTACCCGACGCACATTTAAACATTGTCTAAAAATCATCACATATCTCACATAAAGTGAAGGAAGTAGCCA